CATGAGTTGGGGGAGAATCTTATATTTGTTTTCTTTGGATTCAAGCTTATGAAACATTGGTTCTCTGGTTTGGCACTAAAGTCACCTACTGGGATAGTTTAATTACAGCCGATCAGGAATGATTCTTTTTTTTTTTCAGCTGACAAAAGAACCCTTTTCTAATTGCATGAGTCTACTATCTTGTTGCTGCCTTGCTTTTTCTAGAGTCGGTAGTTTGCACTTACGTCTTTTTGCCTGGCATCACTTAATTGTGGGTTAGTCATTAATTAAACTCCAAACCAGGCCATAAACATGCATACCATAAATTTATTTTTAAACAATAACATTTTGGTATGATAATTAATGGAGTACGATTTTATAAACTTAAAAATTATTTTTTGTTAAATTCAGTTTTTATAAATGTTTAATTTTATCTAACTTAAAATAATCGATGATAATGTTATACACCAACATATTTTCAAAGAGCAACCTGCCCAAGGGTATCATGGCATTTTCATAATACCATCTTCATTAGATCTCATGCTATCTACCTAAACATGCACATACCCTTTTATCATCAATTCAACTCATCGAATATTCACTTGTAACAACAATAATAATTTCAATCATTATGAGCTATAAAACCAACCATTGTTGCAAATAAAATGATCACAAGGTTTTCTCATCAAGGCATCGAAATTGTAAAGAATTTTTTCAAGAAAAAGAAAAGTCTGCATCTTTCTATTAAACTGTGTCCGTGTCTATATGGTAAAAGGACACATCTTATTGTAAACTCCTGCAAAGGGTATCTCAGGCTTAATCACGGAATTCGTTCATGAAACGTTTATGGAAATCCGTTAGACGGGTGACGACGGCCGGAATCTTCTCTTCTTGAGGGAGTATAGTGCACCTAAAATGCCAAGTGCCGGGAACCTAGGAGGAAAATACCACATGTTAGTCCCACTTTATCAGGGAGCCTTCAAATATTTATATTTTGATCCAATCAAACTCAGGTCAACTCACCTGCCTAAAGCCAGAGCCGGGAACAAAAACGATTCCGGTTTCGGTGAGGAGACGACGGCAGTAGAATGCATCTGGTGCCGTTTTTGCTTCTCCAGCAGCTTTGATTGCCTTTTCAGGCAGATTAATCCTGGGAAAAAGATACATTGCACCTTCTGCCTTGTTGCATGTTACGCCTTCCAGCTTGTTGAATGCATCTTCCAGCGTCTGCATTCGAAATTTTGTTAAGTCATGTAATTTAAATCTACTACACCAGCATATCGGAGAGTGCAATTTCATTATTTATTTTAAACCGATCCAACATAAGAGAGCATTAACCTTTGCACGCCTCGCTAAAGATGAGAGGATTCCGTCTCTTTCGGAAATGTATGACTCATAGGATTCATCTCCGGCCTGCAAATTTCATATGTTTTATCATTTGCAACAAACATCATATGCCTATAGAAGGCGATCGAACCGGAGAAAGTCAAGACTGCCGGTAACCTTTACATGCCACCAAAGTGCCAGACGAATTCCAATATTGTCAACCATGATAAAGCATGATAGTTGGGAGATACAAAAGCTTTATTTATGTCATGCATCCAATGTTCATTGAAATGAAAGCAGAAAACCGAATTCAAAAGGCAAAAGATTTAACCTTAGGTGGGCTCATGACAAGGCTAGCAAGAATTTGACCAGAGATGTTAGAACACAGATTGACAGATGCTAATTTGTATATATGCTCCCTGACATCAGCACCAAAACCGGTAATTTCCATATAACCTCCCCTTTTTCCGCACTCTCCGTAATACCCTGGAAACAGTAAAAGAGTGCATATTCTCCATCACAATTCCGAATTTTTTGTAAGTTTGTCTATCATCGATAAACAAAAATGATATGAGCTAGATGAAACCAGTGGTCACCTTTCGAGACTGACTGAAAAGATACCAAGTGTATATCCTTCTCATCATACCCCATAGATCGAGAAACCTTCTTAAAAGAATGGAATTTCTTTTTGCGAACATAAACATTCTCCTGGTAAACCTGTAAAACCATAGGTAGTTTGTTATTAAGGTCAATCCGAACTTGTCTTTGGGAAAGCAGGGTCATCGTCGACAAGTGGCAAAGCAAGTACATATGGAAATCAACCTACCTCGTCTGCCAGCAAAACAAGACCTTCCTCCTTGCAGAACTTCACAATTTCCTTCTGGTTTTCCTCGGCAAGAACCTAGAATCAGAATGAGAAAACAAAATCTCGTGAGAACCTGATTCAAGAAACTCCTTCCTAGAGAATATGCTTTTCGAAAACATTTTAAAGAGTACCTGTCCTGTTGGATTGCCTGGATTTATAACAACCAAGGCCCTAACATCGATGCCCTTGGATTTGGCTGCCTCCAGTTGTTTCTTGAGGTCAGATACTTCCAAACCCCATCCTGTTGCTTCATCAAGATAGTAGGGAACCTGTAAAAGCCAATTGAAAATTATAATTGCAACAATCTGCCGAGGACAGATTACAAAAATCTCGAAAATTCTAAATAATGCTTCAAGTTACTATATGCATACCAAAGTTCCACCATGTAGAGCAATTGAAGCAGAGTATAAAGGATACTGAGGGATGGGACAGAGGATTCCATCTTTCTCAGATCGTATCAGTAACTGCATCATCATATGCACCTGGAAATACGGAGAAAAAATTCATTCCATCATCCGCGCTTTCACGAGGAACTCATATTTCATGTAAAGATGAAAATTTGAGGAGAAAAATATTACTGCAGGGCTGGCACCATCCGTCAAGAATATATCATTTGGATCAGCAGGAAAACCATCACGAGCCTCAATTCCAGCGGCAATAGTATCACGTAATCCCTTGATACCCTGAGGCGGGAAAGAGGAAAAAGTATGAATGAAATTCCAGCACATATGGTCAAAAGAAAAGGCATAAATTGATTTCAAAATAACAATAAATTGCAAAAAACCCAAGATATGAGCAATGATCAGAACCTGGCTGTGACTGTAGGCACCGGTTGCCCTTCCTGGAATTTGATCAAGAATTTTCCGAGCACGCTGAATGGAGTCCTTACTGCAACAAGCCATGAACCAAATTACACAAGGAAAAGGAATGTCTGTCAAAGAAAAACCGATAATCTGCCGAAGTAAACTTTCTAGGCAAGATGAAGACAATAACTCTTTATGTTCGACCATCAAGAATAGATTTCTCACAAGAAATGAAATACTGGGAAGATATCCCCTTCTATTCTAATAGACTTAACCAAAATGGAATTTCTTTAGCAAAATGTAAGTGTCCTTAGATGAGCCTATTGAAGGGTCCAGGTTAAACAAATGAAATAGATATAAAATTTAACAGAACAAACAAAAAAGCCTATGGCTAATAGTAATTCAATACCTGAATAAACCCTGTGTTTCACTTTTGTCCAAAAGGGGTGGATGGTCGCATAATGCAAGAACCTACAGCAGAGACATCAATAGTAAGAATTTCTTCATTCACAAGGACACAACTTTATGGTAACCGATATCTAGTAGCAAGAAACCAACCTCTCGGAAAAATGTTATTGGTTGCTGACCGAGAGATTGAGGATTACCGATGTTGCAGTACAGGATCTGCAATATACGAAATACTTGTAGAATATCAAATAAAAGCTTATTTTAAACAAGAGCCATAATCAGATGGGTGAAATCCAGAAGTCCATCATAAAAACTTCTTCACTGTACTTCAGGAGTTGCACACCTTTTGCAACCAATCATTCATAAACGGTAATATGATATAAGTAAGAGGATTTCTATTCTACCATGGGAGAGACAAAGGAAGGGGAAAGAGGTATATTGTCAATGAAGCATAAATGAGATTTCAACTCCACAAGAGTCCATAAAAAAATGTAATGGAAGATAGATATGTACCTCTTCAAAGGGATGAGCCTCTAGCTTAATCTTTATCTCATCTTGCAATTTCTGAGGGAGATATTAATAGACTATATTAGCAGGCAGCATTATTTCAAAATTTCTAAAACATAATGAAAACCGACGGTCAATGAGCAATGATGCTGAAATCACCCAAAATTCACCTTTAAGTTCAATCAGATATGCACAAAAGCATGAAAACATAACTCGACAGTAATGAAATTGTTATGAATAAACAAGAGATAATGCGGATCAGCATAATACCTGTGCAAGGATGACGATCTCTCCACGGACGGCATACTCGCATTCTATGACCTGGTGATAAAGATAGAATTAGTCACAATTAAATAGATCAATTGCACAAAAGATATTAAGCTGGCTCAAACTAGAATGAGAGTATTGCATAACCTGAATCAAAAGACAAAAGGTGCTAGGGAACTTAAATGATCTAACATTTTCCCCTTATTGTCACTGCTTTAAATTTTTAAATCTCTAAATTCAGACAAATATGAAGAAAGCTTGCCTTAATGGACAATATAAGAAGATTGATTTGAGCACAAAGGAGTGGAATCTATTGAGTACAGGCACTAAAAAGGGGTCTCTACACACTATAAAACCATGATCATTTACATAAAAGGAAGAAAAGATTAACCATCCCAAAGAAAAACATGCTTGAAAAAAGGAAAACTTTTAACAGAAACATGCATATCGATTGATAATATTGAAAAATGATAAACAAACACAACATGAAACCATCATTCGAGTAATGAAAGAAAAAGGTACAAGAAAGCACTTATACCAAAGGGAAACGAAAGGAGAAAAACACAAAGTTGTTGATTTTTTGAAATGACAAGACAAACACAACACACGCAGCATTGAAAAATAAAGCCAGATTCAGAAGTATCAATAAATCAATACCCAACATCAAGTCAAACGATAAATGAAAAGAATAAGAGAAAACAAAAGAAACCCAAATTCAAAAGTCCAGAAAGAAAGAAAAAGGGCTAAAAATGGTACCTTGGGGTTAATAGTATTAACAGTAACAGGAGGAGCCATTGTTGAGCAAGAAGAAACAGGGGAATCAGCTACCAGTCGTATAGGACAATAACGATATGGGGAATGAGAAGAGGAGGTTAGAGAATGTTGAAACTGATAGTTTTGACGTGAACTTTTAAGGAGATTTCTGACTTTGCCAACGCCAATCACAGATCTCCACAACTCTGTTTACCTTTCAAAGACATAGGCGTAAAGAAGACATTTTCGTGGGTGAAAATCGATATTTTCACCTAAATTGGTCGATTTACCTTGGCGCCCACGGTTTGATTGGTTAGAATATGATAGGGTCCCTGTACTATTTTATTTTACTTTTTATAATTAGTGATATATGATTTATTAATAGACTAATTTATATTAGTTGTTGGTATACTATTTTAAATTTTAGTTGTTATATTTTCAATTTATAATATGGATATTTTATATTATCTTTTATTTAAAAATATTATATTTAATTATATGATTAATTTTATAAATATATTTTTTATATTGTCAAATTTAATTCAAAAAATAAATATAAAATAATAAAAATAAATATTTTATTTTTAATTAATAATTTAATAATAAACACTTAAACACCTTTGTAAACATTATGTTAAAACTTTAAACTTACAATTATCTCAGCTATGGAAATGGTTTGATTTGTAATTTTTTTAATTTAAATGTGTATTATTACACAAATAAAGAAATAATTATTTACTACTTACCAGATAGATTTTGACATTACCATGAGCTTAATGGACTTAAGCACATTGTAACAGAGATCCAGTATGCCATAAATACCTTTTTTATATTTAAATTTGAATATATTTTATGAAATAGTAATGTGTATGATAATTATTTTAATATATGTTATTTATAATCGTTTAAATTCAACGGCGCGATCTCTTTTATTGATGTTATTATATCAACACCTACCAAAATTCGGAAAGAATTTGGTTTTGAATTCTCTTCTCCAAGCTGTCTTTGACCATTCTGGACCAATTCCAATCCTGGTCAGGCTCGAGCACCTAGAAATAATTTTGAGGTAGGTAACATATTAATTATTTATGAAATTTTCTTTCTGGAGTGGGCACAAGTAGAATTTTAGGGTGGACATCTATAGTAAAATGAACAATTAATATAAAGAAATTCAAATTTCAGAGAGTAGGGTTGAGCAAAACTCGACTCAACTCGAAAAACTTATTTTTTTCAATTTGATTCGAGTTGTAATTTCATAAACTCAACTCGAAAAAGTTTCAAGTTCAAATCGAGTTGTAAAATACAACTCGAAAAACTCAAGATTTTTGGTAATTAATAGATTGATCTTGAACTTTGAGTCGAAGTTTGAGTCGAGTCCCCTCAATCTTGTATGGTATAAGTAAATCAAATATGAAAAAATACGAATATATATATATATGGTTATAAAGTACGATTTAAATCAGAATAAAAAATGTCATAATTAAATATTTACAATTAAATTTAAATAAAAACTCAAAAATTTGACTCGACTTGACTCGAAAAAATTTAAGTCAACTATGAGTTATAAAATAAAACTTATCAACTCGAATAACTCAAAGTTTTTTTACTCGGCTCGATTGAACGCTCACCCTTACTAAGACGGTCACATGCCCACCCTGGGTATGCTTTACTTACACCATTGGGCTCGAGTAATGGGTCGTTTTAGCTCAGGTTGATTAAAATAACAAAAAAAAACTTTTAATTTAATTATAACATATATATATATATATATATATATATTAAAATTATAATATGATGATGAAATAGTATCATGTTATGTTTTAAAATTAAATAACTCTCACATGCCTACAAATACAATTGTATGAATATGAGTCATCATATTTAGAGATGGGTATTAGATTTGGATTGAGTCGATTTTTTTTTCTCTTTTAGAAAGGATGGCATCATATGGGGCGTTTTTCCCGAAATATCACCTATACTCTATAATATTTCCTGTCAGACACCCTTCAGACTATTTTTTCCAATCTAACACCCTTTGTAGTAAGGCTCGCCCCTTGCAGCACGCTTTACGCTGATCTGACGCTACTTAGGGTATAGCGCGGGGCAGGGGCCGCACTTTACCTTTAATGTTGACACGCGTCAGAAATGCGCGCCCCCTGCGGCACACCTTAGGTTTAATTACCCCCTACCCCGGCCGTTCACACTCTACCCCTTCCCTATAAATACCCTCATTCTCAATTACTTTCATCACACCAAATCCTCTCAACTTCTCTCAAATACTCTTATATTCTATTTTAACTGTTTAAGGTATATTTTATTATATTTAATATTTTGTTTTTAATTTATTTAAGTATTTAATTTATTTAATATTTTATTTAATTAATTTTTTTTGCAGATATAAAATGGAATGAGGTCTACTTCGCTTGGATGGAAATCATATATCGCGACATTTTGCTGATATGATAACATTTTAATGTTTTAATATAATTTAAATTATTAGTAATAATTTATTTATTTATTTAATGCATGATTATAGTTTAAAAATAATTTTTGTAATTATTTAATTTTAGGAGAGGAACCGTGTATTAGATTCTTTTATTAGGAATCTTAAGTTAGTGATACCTAGTCATGTCTTGCCGTATTTAGTATAGGCTAGATTCGGTCACATAGGTAGATATGAGGGTCACTGTAAGATAGAACCAAACCTTATTTCTGCCTTAGTGGAGCGGTGGAGACCGGAGACCCACACATTCCATCTTTCGTGCGGAGAGTGCACGATTACACTTGAGGATGTTTCTATGCACCTGGGGCTTCCGGTGGATGGAGATGTGATATCGAGGATGGCGCACGGTTCATTGACTGCTTTGTGCCGGAACTATCTAGTACGTGTCCCGGAAAGTTTTAACGGTGGTCGGATACCGTTAAATTGGTTAGATGTCAATTTTCAGGAGTTGAGCGAAGACGCCTCTGATGATGAAGTTAAAATGTATGCACGGGCATGCATACTGCAACTGATGGGAGGGTTGCTGATGTCGGACAAATCGTGCAACCAAGTTCACTATATGTGGTTGTGATATCTTGGCGACTTTCGTCTGGCCGAATCACTCAGTTGGGGCTCGGCAGTTTTGGCTTTCATGTACAGGGAGATGTGTCGAGCCACTGACTACATGAAAAATGCTATCGGCGGATATCTCCTACTGCTACAGTCTTGGGCATGGTATCGATTGCCCTTTTTATGTCACTTTGTCAAGAACCCATTCGTATTTCCGCTACTATTGAGGTAATTATAAAACTGATTTTGTATATTAATCATTTTATACAGTGTATAATAAATTTTGTTTTCCTTGAATAGGTGGTCTACTGATAGGAAAAATCATCAGGAGCTACCTGATGATTTAGAAAAAATTAGGGTGCTAATTGATCAGAAGACTGGCACACATGTATGCATTTTAATGTTTAAAAATCGATTTTAGATTAAAGTTGTATAATTACTATTATTTTGATATATTATATATATATATATATATATATATATATATGTTTTAGTTTGAATGAGTGTCATATTCTAATGATGATATGAGGATGGTGATCCCACATGAGTTGAGGGGCCCATTAGATGTTTGGATGGCGATGATCTCTTTTATCTGTTATGCGATCATCGAGTGGCACTCTATTGATCGCGTGCTCCGGCAATTTGGTTGTTTTCAACCAATTCCGGAAGCACCTCGCAATATGGACGAGTTGCATAGCACAGATAGACGCGGCAAGACCGATACATATTGGCTGGTGAGGCATCATGAGTGGGTCGTATTGTGGGATGATCGACATCGCCGCTTTCCCCGTAGAGAGCCCATTTTTACTGACCTCTTGATAGTTGCTGACGGTTATTATGAGTGGTTCAACAGTAACAGGAAATCGTTTCTGCTTTCCAATGATGCACGAGGGCAGACCTTTCAATGACGTCGACAGAGACGTTCACAGACACAACACCATCGTCCCCCGACTCATGGACGGAGAGCAGGTACTTTCGGTTCATCCTCAACTGCACCAACATGACTTTCACAGCAACCACCATCTACAGTGACTTACATATCGCAACCATATGTGATGTCGCCACCGCCGTTCCCTTACTCAATGCCGTCGCCGTCACCTGGTTTTATGACCCCACCGCGGGCATCGTCACAGAGTTTTATGACCCCTCCTAGAGGATATTATGGGTCTATGTTTGTAGATCCGACTTGCGGTTCATATGCCCACATTTGGCGGGTTCAACCTTATCACCCATGGCCGCAACACAGACACTTCCTGTACAGTTTTCACACTCAGCAATGTATGGGTTTTATGAGTTTTTCCCAGTTTTCGCAGGTCGATGGGATAGTCAGTCATACACCTCCAGGGTTCTTATTCTATGGAGGTGCTTCATCGTCATCAGCTCCTCATCAACCTAATGTAGCTACTCACGACGACGACGACGATGGTGATGATGATGACAGCGAGGAGTCACAACCACTGATACGAAGAAATCCTCCTCGACACCGACATCCACCACTCTACGGAACACATTCGCGTCGCAGACATCGATAGATTTTGTTTTTTTTATTATATTTGTATTTAGTTGTTTATTAGACTTTTTTATTGTAATTTTTTTATATTATTTATCATTTAATACTTACTTTATTTCATTAATTTTGTTTGATTTATTTTAATTTATTTAAATTTGTTGGACTTTTTGTTAATGTATTTTGGTTAATTTTATTTATTACCATTTAATATCAGTTATTGTAATTTGTTTATCATTTATCATTTAATACTTATTGTAAGTTTGTTGTATTTAAAATTATATTCAAATACCAAATTGTTATTGTTTTGATAAAATTTAATAATTGTGTTTGATAACTTTCTTCAGTTTGTCACTTATTGTGAGATCGAATGACATTAACTTGAAGTAAATGCAAATTAAAGTACAATAATTCTTATTTGATAAACAAGTACATCAGTTCCTCATCAATTGTTACTTGATGACAACAGAAGTTGATATGTTTTTCTAGTGTGTCTTGGGTTTCTACAATGCCCACATCTTCTGTCTTGTCTAGATCTTTCTCGAATATCCACATCACAATGAATTCGATTGGATTTTGGACGACCACACTCCCTTAATAAAGTTGGATTTGGTACAATCGGAAGCCAATCCTGAACCTCATCAGGGGTTTTGTCATTACCTATAGAGGGAACTCAAATTCGTATAACTTAAAAACTTCAGATAGTATGTATACGGGATCCACAAAACAGTTATAGTCTTGACGTGTATGCGAGCAAGCTGCTATCACATTAGAGCATGTATACTTCAGAGCTTGAAAAAACCCGCAGTCGCACGTTCTGTCCCGTAGATTTACTCTTAACGACACATCCTCAATCCCTTGAAGAGGTCGCGATAACTCTGTGACACGAAACATTTTATGTCTTCTAGAGAAGCTTGTTACAGGCATTCCATTTGATGCAACAATTTTTTTTTGTAGATTTACAACTAATCTAGGGTGATAGATATGACCTCCTTGTATCCAGGTTTGAGTTTGTCTCACGAGCTTCGCAAAAAGTCCCCACAAATGAAAATATGTAGTTTTTACCAAAGCCGCTACAGGTAAGTGACGTGCACCCTTTAAGGTTGAATTGATTGCATTAGCCAAGTTGGTCGTCATGTGTCAATATCGATATCCACCATCATATGTGTTCGCCCATATTTCTTTATCGATGAGGTTGATGTAATCGTATCCTTCTCATTTTTCGTCCGCAAATCTTGAAGCATTGATTCAAATGTTTGAGGAAGTAGTTCGTAACCTGATCAAAAAATGTATAACTCACTAACTTGCTTTCTTTGCAAAATTAAAATGATCGAAAGAAAACAAACTACATCAGTTTCACTTACCCATGCACACAATTAATTGACGCTCATCATTCTTCTTGTACCTTCCATGGTAGTTCGCAGCAATGTGTCAGTGACAAGACCTATGTTAGACAAAGGGTGGTTTCCACATTAGACCCATATACTCAATTGCTGCTTTGATCCCAGCTCTGCGATATAAAATGACACATATTTTTTTCCTCGTGATAACATGTGCACGTAAGTTTCGGAAGAAAAAAAACCCAAGAATCTGTATCTTCTCCTTCAACAAGAGCAAAAGCAACTGGAAGAATGTTACGATTGTCATCTTGAACAACTGCCAATAATAAAACTTGCTTGTATTTTCCATACAAGAAAGTCCCGTCGATCTAAACCACAGGCTTGCAATATTTGACAACATTAACGCACTGTGGGTAAGTCAAAAAAACCCGGTAGAATTGACATCGATCGCGAAGAACTTGATCATTATGGTATGCATAGGAGGTTTCGAAGTCCACAATTGTCTCAGGATTCAAGCTCCGCACCAGCCTAAACCAGCCTGGAAGTTCGTTGTAAGATGCATCCCATTCGCCATGAAGTTTGACAATGGCATTTTGTTTTGCCAACCAAGCTTTTTTATAGGAGACAGTGTACCCATACTGCGATTGTATAGCTGAAATCAACACAGCAACAGCTATATGAGAGCTTGCTTTTACCATGGGCATGATGGCTTGGTATATCACTTCAGAGTCCAAGTTGGGATGATCTTGGTTGACTCCTCAAGCACAACATGTGTGAGGATCATTGTATACTGTTAATTCCCATCTGTTGTTTTTTCTTTTCCTCTTCGATACACGAACCATCCAATTGCATCCGTTTTTGCGTCGGGCACAGTATCATACATATTTTTTTGTCATGGAGTGGTCGACTCTCGATTGAACAGAATTACGTATATTGTAATTTTTTATAGCCATCGTCGCTTCTTCTTTGCTTGAAAACTCCATGCCTAAAGATAACTCACCATTATTTATTGATGAGTAATATCCATAGTTACCGAGATGAGACATATCCGCAAACTCGTACATTGCACCATAATCAGCTTCATACATGTGTACTGGAGGGTCAGTTTGTGCCACATTTAATGGAACTTCATCTACATTATTATCATCATCGGAGTTGAATTACAGTGATTATGGGTGAATGAATAGTCCAGTTTCAGCACCATCCACACCAGGCTCACGAAGCGGTTCTTCTGGTGGAGATAATGGTTCCTCCATGCTCTTTACATTTAGGTCAAAGAACCTACTATTTGCACGTCTTCCCCTTGAACTAGAAGGCATATCGACATTGAGATCGAAAAAGCTCGTAGTGGAGTGCCTCATCTTGGAGCTTGAAGTCATCGTGTCAAATGGAAACTGCACAGATTGTTGCGTCGATGACATCTCTATATTAAGGTCAAATAAATTTGCAGATGAAGGTCTTCCCCTTGAACTGGATGCGATGTTGCCATACGGATTGTTCGTGGACCCACCTCGGTACATATTGTAAGGAGTTACGGATGAATGTCTCCCCATTAAGGTTGATTTGATGGCACCATGATGCGGATTTCCCATTATGGCGTTAAAATCATTACACATTACTGTAGTCAGGCTGTCAACTTGATCAACTTGTTCAGCCAGCCCATAGTGGGAGCTTAATAACTGACCCCGAACAACATGCACTTGAACAAACTTTGCATACATCTCAATATCGCCGTCTGAATAATTTCTTTGAGAATCAGCCATCATTTCAACATCATCATTGTTCGATAGTTCGAACGTTGTATAAGTTAATGACAACAATGATGTTGGAAATATGTACTACAACGACGACATTCTTCTACTACTTCCAACATGAACCTTCCTCGAAATCTTCGTTATCAGCTCCTCAAGAGTTATGTTTCTCTTGAATGATATTTTAGCACACTCATTTGATATGAAAACAACGCCAGTTTCATCTTCTCGAATTTCTCCATTATAATAAACAATAGCTGAAAGTCACTCCATTCTTAGAGTTTAAAAGTGCAACAATATTATATCTGCAAAAAACAACTGAAACAAACATGATTAAATAAATAATATATGAACGAAAATATAACACAATAAAATTTTACACATAAACGTAAATAATTTAAATAATATAATTTTATATTATTACCTGCACCGCAAAAATATTTCGACGTATGCTCCCGCTTTCCCCTTGAACTGGCACAGAAATTAATTGAAAACAATTACTATAATATTTTTTTCAAATAATCATAATAAACAATAAGTGTAATAAAAAAATATTATAACAAAGTTACCTTATAACGAAAGATATAATGAACTTCTGAATTAAATATAAGAGGATTGTCGGGTGTTATTTACTGGTTGAAAGGATTGTTGTATTAATTTCTCGGTTGAGAGGGAATTGTGAGAGAGTTTACGGGGAGAGGGTTATTTATAGCTGAGAGAGGATGCTTTAAAGTCGAGAGGTCTGGTTAAATAATGCAAGGCGCGGTGCAGGGACCGCGCCTTGCATTATGCATGTCTGATAATTGAGCATGTGATAATTGAAAAGCGCGGCCCTGACCTGCGCTATAGCTCTACGTGGCGTAAGGCGCGCCCTAGGGGCCGCGCTTTAGACACGTGTGTTCATGTCAGCGTAAAGTGCGCTGTAGGGGGCGCGCCTTACCCCACGTGACGCCATATCAACGTAAAACGCGCTGCAGTGGGCGCGTCTTACTGTAAAGGGTGTTAGATCAGGAAAAATAGTCTGAAGGGTGCCTGACAGGGAAAATTATAGGGTATAGGTGATATTTCAGGAAAAACGCCATCATATGGATTTAAGAATTAGGATAAAAAAACTTGATTCAATATAAAATTATAATTAACATTTATATATTTAGGTATAATTATAATAATATCGATCTCTATATTATTTTTTCAATTAGATCCTTATTTAAACAAATTTTTTATATTTTATTTCAATAATATCAAATGCATGTAGGAATTTTGATCTTAAAAATCAAATCAGATTTTGGATCAAATAAAATCTTCTTAAATCTAAATCAAGTCGAATAGGAACAAAATGATTAAATTTTTTATGATCGAATTTGGGAGGGCCAAAACCCGACTTATAATCATCCCTAACCACACCCTTCATGAATTTATATTTAAAAGGTAGATGGATCAAAATGCAATGAAAATGAATTCAGACGAAGCAGCAGCTTGTCAATCCATTTCTTTTGTTGGCGAGAAAGAATGGTTGGAGAGAAAAGTAAAGAGGCGACCTCTTTGCCAACTGCAAGGCCTGACATTTACAAATCTTCTGGATTTGTTTGTTCAAAGGTTCAGCTTTTGCATCAATTCCTTCAAGAAAAGGCTATACGGCAAAGCAATGTCCTCGAGACAAAACTTCTGTTTCACTCGTGTATTCAAACTCGGATTCTCTAAAAAGAAAATATTCACAAAATTAAATTTTTAAAATCTTTTTAATCTGTTACCCCTTAAACTATACCATCGATTGAGTATAAGTAAATAAAATTGTAAAGTAAAAAGGGGAAAGAGAACTTTGTTTTAGTGTCGTTATCGGAGAAAATGATTAGAATAACGTCGATAATGATCAACAATAGCATGTGCTAAAAGAGATATTGAAAGAATTTTCAATATTCTTTGAAAAAAGGTAAAAATAAATGCAAAGTTAAAAGAGTCTTCTTTAAGAAGAATTAAATCTAACCCTAAGAACTAAGTTAATATACTAATTTAAGTTCAAATATGTAATTGGACAAAAACAACTTAGGTACCAAACTGTAATTTAAAGTCAAAGTTCATGTCTTAAAATATATATTTACTCTAATGATTATTATAATTGTCTATTGAAGTTGAAAGATATAATTTGTTAGGAAGAAGAAAAAAACACTTTGTCTTGAATTTTTGTGAAGTATAATAAACAAATCTTTAACCATTGCTTCCTTAATTTGGCATCCAAAGCTTTGTTGATAGTAAGGCATTGGATGCCAACCGAATAATTCACTTAATAATAAATTTTTGTCTTTTATGCTTATTTTTATTTAAAAAATTAATAATTAAGTTAAATTTAGTTGAATACCTAATGTAGTTATTAATTGATTAACTGTTAATATTGTTCATTGATACTATACTACACACAAAATCTGTTATACCATTAAAATAAGGAAAAAGATTAGGGTAAACTACACATTTAGTACTTAAACTATTAATTTTGATATGTTTTAATACCTAAATTTTTAATTTTTTAAAAACCATACCTATCGTTTATTTTTATTTAATTTTAGTACCCGTCGTTAAAAACTTATCGTGTTTAATACCTAAATTATCGGTTTTGGCACCTAAACTTTCAATCTTTTCAAAATTTAACATTAAACTTTGAACGGGTACTAAAATGAAACAAAACTAGAGTTTTAAACGGTGGTGTACCAAAATGAAACAAAAACTAAAGTTTTTAACGGCAAGGTACTAAAAGAAACAAAAACTAAACTTTATGTATGTTTTTGAAATTAATAAAAGTTTAGATATTAAAACGGATCAAAACTTATAGTTTAGGTACTAAACTTGAATTTACCCAAACGGTTAAAGACATACATTAGAATATGGATTGAATAGTTCATGCTTGTATATATTTATACCCTTTTATTCCTTCAATTAAGAGCTGTACATCACCCAAAAAATATGCTCTTTTCTACTGACTAATGCTGCCTCTCAAGCTGTTACTCTACATCAGCAGACATTAACGTAACCCCCCCAAAAAAAAAAACAAAATCAATGTTTCACAGATCTAGATCTAAATCTAAATCAAACTAAACTAAAACCTTCAAGTTGCAGACAAATCCATCAACTGTTGAATTTGAACGTCAAGAATTTTACTTGTTCCCTATAGGATTCGAAGTGCTCGGAGGTATCCTCCTGAAGCTTGAATCCACCAGCTTCTTAGGGTTTCCCTGTGAAGATGAACCCTTAGCCTTTCTCGACGCCATCGAAGCGTGTTCGTGTCGGAGTCGGATCGAACGAGTTTCGGCTCGAGCTATATTAGATAGAGGTGTCGAAAGTAGTACAAGAAGAAGAAGAAGAAGAAGAGCAAGAACCACAAGTGGTGGTGGAGTGTTTGCTTTCATGGCCGATGTGCTGGGAATCTTTATTCAACAAAGTTGGTTTGATCTTGGGTTTCTCCCAGTCTTGCAACTTATAAAGTTCGTCGAAGGAAAAATAATGAAATATCTAAGGGAAGATCCTGTGATATATTGTTGACTGTTACATGTAACTCTGAGCACAGTGTTTTTTTTTTCATTTCAGAGGGGTCATGTGATTAAGCAGGTTATTTTTTGAGTAATTTATTGTTGTCTTGGGGAGCTAAATGTGTTTGGTTTTATAATGTTGAATGTTAATGTTTGATCTATATAGTTTGAAAAAATAGATAGTGCAAGAAGAAAGGCAAAATATGATAATGGTAATCTGTAGTAGAATAACTAGTTTCTCCGCTGGTCAAACAGATCACACTTGGTACTTGAAGCAGCTGGGCAGAGATCCTAATCATATAACATCGCCAAGATTATTTCCATGTTCCTCGAAAAATTATTTTATTAATTCTCCTTATTACGTCATTTATGGTTCAGCTATTGAAAACCACTTACATCTCTTTTTTTCACATCGCTAATTCATTTGCAATTTACTTTCAAATGATCATCCATTTTCATATTTACATAAAAAAATTAAAAAATCATCCATAGAAAAGATGACATAAAAAGAAGGCTTAAATATATAAAAAGTGCCCAACATATGTCTGTTTTTTCAGTTTAGTGCCTAATGTTTTTTTGTTCCAGTTTGGTACCTAACGTTTCATTCCGTTACTCAAAATGGGTCACGCCGTGACGGGCCGTTAGTTTTCTCTGTTAAGTGACACGTGTCACAATCTAGTAATTTTAAAATTTATTTTTAAAAATAAATATTAAAAATATTATTATATTTATAAAAAAAAAAACCCTTATTTCTTTTAAATTACAAAAAAGTTCAAATTCTAACACGTAAGCTTACCCACGGCGGCGGAAGGCGAGAACGGCAACTACGACATGACCCACCGGTTGGATTTTGAGCGGACGGCGACGAGGAAGCTAAATATGGTGGCAGTGAGGCGAACGGAGGTCTAAGGCTGCCAGAATCGTCCAATATCCGAGGCATCGGGGGTGGGTTTTCGGCGAAACTTCAAGGGTTCGATTTTGGCGAACGGTGATGGCTATCCACAAATTGTTTTGGGGGCTTTGATCATGGTGACGAGGTGCTTCGATTGGGCTGGGCGGTGACAGGCACGGACGAGCGGCGGCGGCGGTCGCGTGGGTTTAGAGGTTGAAATGAAGGTTTTAAAAGTTTTGGGGTTATTTAGAAATTAATGTGTTTTCTTTTTTAAAAATATATATAATTTTTAATTTTTAAATTTTTTAAAAATTAGATATAACTGAAAGACGATTCATACGTAAAAAATCACTCTAATCAAAAGTATATGATTCTAATCTAAAAATTCATCATAATTCAACTGATATTTTAGACTTCAAAATTAACTTTTATTCAAAATTATTTTTATATCTTTTTGAAGTTAAATATAAAAAATAATTCTATATAAGTGCGTGAAGATCAAATATCATCCCTCATATATCTCTAAAAATCTTCATAACATATTTAATTAATTCTAGTCGTAATCTTTTAATATGGGACGTCCTCAATATATATCCACAATTTAATGTCATTTTAAGTATTTAATGTCCTCAATAAATCAGTTAACTTACAATAAATTTTTGGATTAAAATCATATACTTTTGATTAGAGTGTCTTCTTACGTATAAATCGTCTTTAAGTTACATCTAATTTTTTTAAAAAATAAAAAATAAAAATTATATATATTTTTTAAAAAAAGAAACACATTAATTTCGAAATAACCCTAAAACTTTGAAATCATTCATTTCAACCCCTGAACCCACGTCGACTGCCGACGTCGCTCTTCACTGCGTGTCACCTCCTAGCCAAATCGAAGCGTCTCGCCGCCATGATCAAAGCCCCCAAAATAATTCATGGATAGTCGTTGACATTCGCCGAAATTGAGCCCTTGAAGTTTCACTGAAAACCCACCCCGATGCCTCGGATTTTGGACGACTCCGGCTGCCTCGGACCTCCGTTCGCCTCACCGCAACCATAGTTAGCTTCTTCCTCGCCGCCATGATCAAAGCGCCCAAAATAATTTGTGGATAGCCATTGCTGTTCGTCGGAATCGATCCCTTGAAGTTTCACTGAAAACCCACCCCGACACCTCAAATTTTGGATGATTATGGCCGCCTCGGCCGTTCGCATCACCGCCACCATATTTAGCTTTCTCGTCGCCGTCCGCTCAAAACCCAAGCAGTGGGTCACGTCGTAGTAGTCGTTCTCGCCGTCCGCCGCCGTGGGTAAGCTTCAGTGTTAAGATTTGAGCTTTTTGTAATTTAAAAGAAATAAGGGTTTTTTATAAATATAATAATATTTTTAATATTTATTTAAAATTGTAAGATTGTGACACGTGTCACTTAACGGAGAAAACTAACGGTCTGTCATGGCGTGATCCATTTTGAGTAACAGAATGAAACATTAGACACCAAACTAAAACAAAAAAAAATGTTAAGCACTAAACTGGAAAAACGTGCATATGTCGGACACTTTTTATATATTTAAACCTAAAAATAATGAGGTGAATATGTTGAGTTAATCAATCGACGAATCAACCAAGAGGGGGTGAATTGGCAATAAAATTTTTGGTGGAAGCTTTTGCAGAAAATTGAAAATATTTGCACAACGGTTTAGAGTGGTTCGACTTTCTCAACCAAAGTCTACGTCCACTACCTTAGCTATCCACACTAAGGATTTTCCAACAAATTCACTAATTTGTTTTTTCTTTTGAGGACAAAGAGTAACCTTACAACTCCCTCAAGAATTATACCCCAAATTCTTGAGAACACTCTCTCCCAAAGAGAAGATTACGAATTTTGCAAACTTATAGAAAAACCTCACTAGGCAATATGTTTGCACAATTCTAGAACAAAGAAAGAACACTCAAGAATGAATACATTTGAGTACAAGTAGTGTTCTTTAAAGCAAAAATGAATATTGAATGAAAATTGGCTTGAATTACTCAAACTTGATTGTTTAAGGCTTTCTCTTTGTTTATCTCACAAATTCTTGTTTCTTGTTGTCGATCAATGACTCCTGAGCTTGTTTAAATATACCTTCAATCACTTCTGAATGTTGGGGATCATTGGTGAAGTCAATAGAGCCGTTATTGTGTAATTATCATTTAAAAATCTGGTTGGGAGTATAGGTGCATCGGTACACACATAAGGGTGCATCGGTACTCTATGTGTAAATTTCAAATATTTCGACTGTTATAAGACGTAGTGCATCGGTACACTTGGGGTGCATCGGTACACTAATTATATTTAATGTTTCAAAAGAGCCAGGAGTGTATCGATGCATGGTTTGTGCATCGGTACATAAAATGCATTCGATGTTTCAATAAAATCAGGAGTGCATCGATGCATGACTGTGCATCGGTACACAAAATGCATTCGAATTAGGGTGTGCATCGATACATCAAAGAGTGCATCGGTACATCCCTATATAAAATTGATTTTTGGCTCGATTTTGGTTCGAAATACTTTGTAAAAAAATTTCAAAAATATTTTAAGTTTAAAACACAATTTTACACTTTAGTAAGGATTGAAATTGACCTTTGAAAAACTTGGAGTAATATTTCGATATTCGAATAATTCTAATCGAATATACTTTAAAAATGATTATAAAATCTTAAAATTCAATAACACTTAATTTGTTATATCGAAACATCAAAATGTTTTCAACAATCTCCCTTTTTTTGATATAACAAAACATTTAAGTAATTTTAAGATTTTCTTTGAAAATTCATTTTTGAAATCAATTTTTGAAATTACTTCCCCTTACTTTATTCTCCCCATTTTTGTTAAATCAAAAAGACTCCAAAACGTTTTAAACAAGGTTTTTGAAAATGTAGCCAATTGATATTTAGATAAAGCTTAAGCTGTTAAGACACGATCAAGAGAAAGATTAGCCATTAGTTCCATAAATCAATATCCATATATA